TGGCAAAAGATATGAAGGCCCCAGGGCTACACAAAGGACATAGTTTGCAGGACGTCTTCATTTTAAGCCAATGCTAAAAAGAGGAACTGAGGGATAGCTGCTGTCCTTCAGGTGGGACAGGAAAATCCTCATCTCTAGTGGCTCATCAAAGTTTACGGTAACTATCCCCAGAGACTTCTCAGGTAGAATGGGAGATAACCTGTCACTGTGGCTTAGCTGCAACTTTATAATCTTGTCTTGAGTAAATAACAGCTTGTCTTGGCCTGTTCCCAGGAGCAGAAGAACAATAGGATAGGCGATAGGAAATCCTTCTCTCCTTAACAGTGGGTCAGGAAGATAACCTGAGCTGACTGACAGTCAGAACAATCTTGGGATCAAGCTGTTGTCTTGCAAACCCAATGTTACTAACTAATCACTTGCTGCTTTTAATGTATCAGTGACTTATGTATGGGGGTATTTTTTATTTCTGGCTTTCTCCATCTGCCTGTGGTTTATCTACAAGGAGCTTCAGCCAAGCTAACCAAAGCCCTGGTGTTTCAGGGATTAATTCCCAGAAAAAGCTCAGAGAAGAACTATCAGCTGGGAGCTGATTAAATGCATCTGTACTCAGGTGTGTGATACTCTCAGCTGGATGAAGTAAAGTTGCTGAAGTAAAGCTAAGAGGGGGGGTTCCAGCCAAAAATTACAGCCATGCTTGATACTTTAAGTGATGTTTTCTGTTAGTTTAGACCTTGTTCAGCTGCAAGCTGTGAAAGGCAGCAACAGACTATTGTTAATAGGTAACAGTTTGGCTCCAACTCTAAAACCTTTTAGTGAAATCCTGCAGGAGGCCTCTGGGAACTTTGCTCTGCTCTCATTCCACCCTTATACCACAAATGCATTTTCATTAGTCTGCATGCATATAGATGTTACATCTAACATTCATAAGTGCTGGGAGGAATGGAAAATATTTAGCAAGAGGAATTTTACTTCTCTCTTTACTTATGATTTGTTCTTGACCATTCAAACATTTTTTCAATTAAAAAAAAAGTGTTTATTTTAACCAGAGCTGGGTAAGTAATTTACATTAAAGAAATTACTCTGTTCATCTTTTTTAGATCAGGCATAAGTTGTGATTTTCTTCTCACTTGCACTTACTGTTCAGAAAGAATCACTGAACATTTTTTGTGAATGAATTCTTTGTTGGTAATTCAATCACAAACAGTTTGGTATAAATATTAATTAATTAATTAATTCTAAATTAAATAGAAATTCAATGTCCAGATTCCTTTGATGATTTTTGAGCCAATCGGTCAAAACTTGAGCTGTCTCTACTGAACTGACAAGTTGCTTTTTCATCAGACAATTGCAGTGTTAGGGATGTTTTTTCTGCATTGTCTTGCTATTATAAACTGTTTAGTGGGAAATTTATTATCCTTTGTAATGGGACTAGCTTCAGCAAACATATACGTCATCCAATTCCCTCACCAGTGCACTGCAGGAAGGGGAACCTAAGGGGCAGCAATATGCTCAGAGTTTTAGCTTTAAGACAGTGAGAATAAATATTCAGATAAAATATTTGGCAATATCACCCAACTCTAATTTGTGCATTTTAAAGCTTGATCTTTTGTGTCCTCACAAGTTTTTTGTTCGTTGGACTCCCTGGATAAAGTGCATCGAAACTCAGAGGATATCTTATGTCATCACTATTTGTGTTAATGGCTTAGGAAACCCACAATCCAATCAGTTAAAATAAACAACCCAGTGTAATAGGAGCATAAATCAATGAAGACTTCATTACTGAAACCTTACTGTGTAATCCATCCACCTACAGAGGAAAGGGATACTGAGAGGCAGGAAAACAAAATGAGAGGACGGTCTGATTTAGTCAAGCCTGATATTTAAAAAGGTGTTGAGAACAGTAACTCTTCCTAGAGTCAGTAAACTGGTGAATACTCATCACCTCTGACAACCTGCCCTGACTATTAAGTCCTTATGCTAAAATATGCCAAGGAGCTCCTGGTAAGAGGGCTCTGATCACTCTTCGTTTCTTCTGCAGTTAGTGAGAGAGTTGAGAGAGACAGCTTAGGGCTGTGGACTGATGAATGAAGAAATGAATTAGCAAGATGAATGTATGACTGAAACTAGATGCGCCACCTGAAAGGGATAGTCTTCAGGTCTGCTTGACCCTTCTGCAGACTTTCCTCTGTTTGGTCCTATGTGCCCCCCCCACCTCCCCATAAGATGAGAATAGCAGCTATACTTGGTGGGCCTGGGTTTACTAGATTTCATTAAAGCCACATATTCTAATTTGTCTTGGTTTAAAAGAATCAGAAATCCCATCATACTGAGCTTTTCAATAGGGCTCATAAAAAGAGGCTGAATTTTTATAAAGATTTACTCTTCACAAATAAGGTAATGCTCACAGACCCTCCTCCCTGCATCTTCTGTTTCAGAATCAATCCTCTCTCTGTTTGCTCTAATCTCTCATCCCAGCTTGACTCCTCTCTCCTCCCACCCCTTATCCTGACCTCTTCTTGTTCTTTCATTTCATTCCCGTCATGATATCCTCATCCCTGTTGCACTCTTATGCCAGCATGAAATGTGCACTAAGCAGTTAAAGTTTGGTAGCACTGATAATCAGTCAAAAACAGTATGATGGGAATTCTAGTCTTCAGAGATTTGGGGTTCTGTTTGTTAATAATTATGGTAAAAAAAAAAAAATCTAAGGATATGTAAAGTTAAAGATACAGAAGTTAAGAAACATCAGCACTAATGTAGACATTGCAAGCAAAAGAAGGCACATTATCCAGCACAGAACAAGGTTTGGTTGAAGTGAGCTGCCAGCCATCCTACAGCAATTCTGTGACCGAGGCAGAAACTGGATTCTCCTGGCTGATGATTGCCTGCTCTAACCATGAAGACTGACCTTCCTCCTGCTGCATTCCCATATCTTGCTCAATGCGCACCTTCCCCCCACTACAACAATGAGGATATAATATGATGTGCTACACAGTTTTCAACATCATTTCAGCCTGTGCAATGACTTTAGCAGGGATCTACTGGAAACAAAGTGTCCATTTGCATTAATAATAATCATTATTACAGATCTGAGTTAGGCAGATTTTCCTAATATTCTGTCTGCAATTTCTTTTTGCTAGGTGGTACTTCTCAATTCCTTGTCTTAAATGCTCCATTGTATAGTGTTAAAAATGTCAGAGAACGGTTGAGTCTCGCTGGTAGAATGATCCCATATATCTAGAATATATACTAGCAGGTTAAGTTTCTGAAGCACTTCAACATTCAGAAATATAGGAGTCCTATATTTGTAAAGTATTATTCCATTGTAATAATTTAATGGGAGATAAAATGATTCCACTATAGTTTATGGGAAACATCTTAGGGTGTTCTTCAGGATCAAGGCTACACAAATGAAAGTTTTTTATCATATAGGAAATTTGTATTTTGTTGTATTGCATTTATATGAAAATTAAGAGATCTAGAACTGAACCCAAATCTCTCATACAGCTACACAGACCAGTGATTAATTCTTCCGTCTTGGCAGTGAAATCTATTTGGTTGGAGGAGGATTCAAGTAGGGGCCTACTGTACCAAAAATAGACAGTATATATAAAGTGTTTTCTTCTCCTAAGCTATAGTTGTTTATCTCATTTCCTCTACTGCAAACACTTAAAATGGACTCACTTTATTTCAAGTAGAATGTGTGATTTCAAGGTGTGGTACTTACTCAGTCGTGATTCAAGGTAAGTTTAGGACATCTTTCTGCTTCCCAAATTCCAGGCTTCCTTGCAGTTAGAGCTGTGAGGCTTCAAAGACAAGGGAATTTTATTATAAACGAGATTAACAATATTTATTCTTCAACTGCCAGTAATAAGGGATGTTCTTAATGAAGACTATTCCACATTTAACATTTTGGTGTGATATAGAATCTCCTAAACTTTGAGCTAGCCAGGACAAACCAAAAAAGATGGACACGATTTAGAATAAGACACGTATATAAACTTTGGTCAATGTTGTCATAGAGTAAAATGAAGAGCTATGGATGCCATGGAACAGAGAGGGCAGGGTGCTCTGCAGGAGAAGGGCAGTGGGAGCTGAGGGTGACAGCAGGGCAGGCAGTGGCAGTGGCCCCCTGGCAAGGGTGCAGTCCCACAGTACCGGAGCAAGGCAAGCAGAGTGGGTCCGGCGATGGTAGCCAGGTTCAGTCAAGAGCCCAGAGCAGCAGACAAGTCCATAGCAATAAGGCAGGTCTGGGGTCAAGCCAGGAAAGCAAGGCAGTGGGTTGGGGTATGGATCAACAGGGTACGTTTCAGGGACCGAGCATGAGCGCCTCAGCTTAGAGACAGCTCCAAGCACAGGAGGGAGCCAGGCCCTCTGAGGCTTCTTCCAGCTCATCTTCTAACAGCTTTTATCACAGAGTGGGTCTTGGGTGCAGCCAGCTAAAGCCTTGCGAGAGGAGAAGTGTGCTCCAGGCCATGGGGAAATAACCCCAAGACTCCCATAGTCACATCTCTTCATGTTTTATTTTCTCCTTTTTTTAAAGCAATTACTAATTTGCCTCCAGATCCCAGTGTGCTGAACTGTGCTGAATGTTTGGAGAGAAGCCCAAATAATTCAGAAGAAAGGAATACATTGGAATTAAATCTGTAGAAGACACACTACCAAAAGAACAGGAAAATATGCAGAGTAATGTCAAAGCCAGGCTAGCTGAAACAGAGAGATTCATTTATAGAACTGCAGAAATACTACTGTGTGTTAAATACAGTGTGCTATGACCAGTATGTCCATCAGAGGCTTTTAAGATGCATTATCAGTATGGTGCCACACATTCACTGGCCAGATGGCACAAAAAGTATTCAGTATCCAAACAAGGATCTCAACGCCCTCACGCTGCTGAGGCATTTGTAGCTCACTGCAGCCCTGTGCGGCATGAAGTGCCTTGCAGAAAGATCTTTCACTGTTCTGAGTCCATCCTTAAATTTTGTGTGTTTCCTTTTCAGAGCTCCTGTGACAAGGATGTCATCCTGAATATTCTCGGTGTTCTCACTGACCTGCTCTCCCTGGGTAAGGAAGCAAGGCCTGCTGGCCCACTGCGGGTAGGGGATCCTAGTGCAGGGCAGGGTAAGCATAGCTGCATAAACTCAGCCAGGTGTTTGCAAGGTAGACAACACAGGAATTGTAGCTGTACTTCTCCAGTCTTTACTGCTGTGTTTGGAAGATCGAGCATTTTATTTGGTTAAAGAAAAAAAAAGTCTCAATTTTTTTTAGATAAAAGGTACACATGAGCTTCAAGGTATTTCATAATTCCTGGCAGTTGCTGGCCCCTGGAAACATTCACAAAGGCCATTGGAAAGAGAGAGCTGTGAAACAGGGATAGGAACTTGACTTCCGCAGTCACGGTGACTCTCTCTGATGGAGGGGGAGACTTCAGGACCTCCCCCAAAGGCACCTCCACCTCACAGTTACACGGAAGGCATGCTGCTGCACGTATCTGAGCCACGTGAAAAAATAAATGACTTGGCAAAAGAACTGAAAGAGAATTAAGTTTCTTCTCCCTCCTGCTCCACCTCAAAAATGTCATTTGGTAAACAATTTTCAACCAGACTGAGTTGCTAGGCTGCAGGGGCCTGCATCTGCAAGTGTTGGCGGCCTCCTGCATCCCCTACTGCTCCGAGCCCCGCCAGAGACGTCCTCAGGCCAGCTGAGCCTCTCTTTTGAAGCTGTGTAGCATCGTTCTGCAATTAGATGGAAGAATTCACTATGTGGATGACAGAAGGTACCGTCCCCCCTCTGCGAACTCCAGGGGCTCAATGTGCTGCTTCCACGAAATATGGAGACCTGAGCAATTCACAGCCGGCCCGAGTAGCCTGTGGATCATTATTTGTTGACACAGCAGGACTCATAGGATTAGCATGCGGTTTCTTTGGAGACCTAGGTTTGTTTGAAAGCTGCCTCCAAAGCTTCCCTAGGATTCCTCTTCATTTGGCAGAAGCCCGTTGGAACGCTATTCCTTTGCTTATTTAATTTTCAATATCTAAGAAAAGATCACTGAGCTTTCGACTCCTTTGAAATCTGTTGGTGTCTCTGTTTATTCTTTGCCGCATTTCAATGCACAGTGAAAAACTCCTGCAGGACTTGGGTTCATAAAGAAACAACAGTCAGAGCAAGAGGCAGCGGAGCGCACGGTTTTGTTGCCCAGCCTGGGCCACATCTCTGATCCAGGGGCGCTTGAGAGTAAATGCTAAATGCTGCAAATGCCCTTAGGTTTGTGGTGATCTGGCGGTGAAATCGCGAGGGGCAGGCGGCGCGGGCGGCCGGCCGCCGCGCGGCCCACTAAACACCG